TGTCCTTAGGACTGCGCAGGGCTGTCTATTGAAACCTATATTTCGGCTTGTATGCCTATTAACGTATATAAAGCCTTTTGGGGTGTGTGGGTCGTATTCTGCAATACTGTAAGACTGACTATAATGGTGCCTGTTCTTGTTATTTTTTAGGCTGTTGTTGGAGGGCTGGAGACCTCAGGAGACATTGTCTCGGTGTCGTCAACAAACAATGAAATCTTTCTCCTCAAGGGGGACAGAGATATCATTCGGATCTCAGACATGCCCGAAGGGGCAGTATCTGGTTCGTGTTAAATTTACACTATTCTTTCTTTTCCATTTCACTTTAATACTATTCTAGCTTTACAAATGACATAATGCATAAATTCTGCAGAATTTACAGAGGCAGATGTACAAAGTGTATAAACTCCAACCGACTAGTTGATTGATATAATGTTTAAAAAAAAAAAAAAAGTACACTTTCTTTATTTGGGGGAGGGAGGGGAGAAAGGTTTGCAATTTGTCAGTATTGTTTCAGAACAGAGTCCTTATTTTGAGATAAAGTTTATTAAGATGATATAAGAAATGTACGCAGTCCACTTTCAGATGGACATTTAATTCTATAAAAATAAGCAATTTTTTTAGTTTGTAAACTTATATTTATGAAAAAGTTTGCTTTTTGGATTCATCACTAATGCAACGTGAAAGCATTTGTGTAAAACACCTACACATATGATGCAAATAAAACCTAACGGAACATTTTGAGATGAAAGCTGTATTGAGGCAATTTTTTTTTTTTTTTTTTTTTGTTTCCAAGATATTTATTTATTTTTGTCAGCCAATGATCTGTGCAAAGTATACTGCGAATTGAAGAGCTTATTTATTTTATATGTTCTGCTAAAGGGCTATGAATGGAGTCAAATGCTTTGATTTTGAAGATTGTACCAAATAAATCTATATTCTTATGTTATATAATTTCTTAACGTTTGTTTTGTTATTTAAACAGCGGGTCTCAGTAGCCCTTTTCGAGTGCGCGCTGTATTCTCTCCAGAAGTAGACAGAACCCAATTGGGAACGCTATTTGATGTTCAAGAAAACCCCAAAATGGATGGCCATACTGTTAAGACTGAGAGGATACAGATTGAAACTGAAAATGACGAAGGTGATCTAGACGTGACGGGGGTGCAAAGAGCCCAGAGTTGCTCACTTCCTACAGAAGTAAAAAGCCGGAGCAGCTCCATGAACTCTCTAGACAGCGGGTTCGGCTTGAATGCCGCCCCAGACCATATGTCACCCAATAATGTGCCAAGAGGATATAGGTCGTCCTCACAGAGGTTCAGTGCAATCAGTAGTGAAGAATTCGAGCAGGAGCTTGTTGTGCAATCCATTAAAGTTAAAAAGAAGAAAAAGAAACGCCAAGGTAACTTTTGCAGGGTTTAATGTTCTGAGTTTTTAAGTCTGTTTGTTTTGTGCGTTCTGTTTGATCACTGCAGTGTAGTGCCTATACAAAGAATAGTCATACCTTTGGTATTTATAGACTACACTTTCAGTGAAACTTTCTCTCCATGGTCTCAAATTGTGATGATAAAAATATACTTGACTTTGAGTGCCTAGCTCTTTGCATCATACAACCCTTTTTGTTCCCCCTAACATTGTCACTTCAGCCCCCCTTTTCTAGGTCCTTTCGCCTCCTCTATACCATGTCTCTCACTTATTTGACTTCACTCCATTTAAAAAAAAAAATTTTTTTCCCCCCATCCCCCTTAGCCCTGCCTACTCTGACAGAATAGCTTGAGTGGAGTTACCCTCCTCCTTACGTCATACCATCGGTGAAAGACGATGATACTGCCTGGTATTGTCCTTAGCCATTCCATCATAGGGTACTTAGATCAGTTAAAGCGTTTATTGTGCCTAGCCCCTATAGTTTCCCTTTAATTAAAAAAAATAAATATAGATATAGATATAGATATAGAGAGAGAGATTTATAAAAGCATTTGAGAATGGAAGTAGAAAAAATAGGGGTCCTAAAAACAGTCTCCATTTTAAAATGTTCCAACAATTGAAACATTATGAAGATTAACTGTTTGCTCTTTGTTTGGCATACCAGAAAATGGACCTAAGAATCATGACACTGGTTCTTTGGAGAGTACACCAAGTGTGGACAGTCCTCTGACTCTGAACTCTGACTTTTTTTCTGCAACACCCAGCTTGCCAAGTGGTAGTGTAGATCAGCTAAGTTCCCAGGAAAGCCTGAACAGCGTAAAATGCCATAGTGTCATGGATGACAGAAGTGCCGATGTTTTCTGTGCTTTGCAGCCTGTTGAATCTCCAGCAGAAGCTCCCGATAACGATGTTGGTCCTCTCGATGAAGGAGGAAACGTCTCATTAGATGTAACCGAAAAGACAATAGTTCCTGAAAATGACTCTGCCTCAATGTCTTTAGACCCATTGCAGATGGACAACAGTCCGAAACTTCCAATTTTGGTTGACAAGGAAAGTTTAAACTCTCAGCCTGATGCTGAAGGTGGTTCTGTCTGTAATTTGTTCCCTTCAGAGACTTTTGAAAATTCTACAAAATTGATAGATGCTCAAGATTCACTGGATATGGGGTCTCTTGCTTTGACTATGCAGGAAGAGACAAATTCATTGGAGGTCAACGAAAAACTCAGTGAAATGGCTAAAGAGGACCAAGAACTATTTACTACCAATACTACTTGCCATGTATTCTCAAGTTTCATTGGGAGTGGCACCTGTCAAAATGTTTACGCAAAACAAGCCTTTAGATCTGACAATACAGAAAACACCAAACATGTTCACATGTCTGAATCAAGTGACGAGGAAGATATTTACAGCCATAGGTTTAGGCGTTCTTCTCCAGAAGAGAATGTAACGGAGATGGAGGCCTCTCAAGAGATGACTCGGTCCACTCAAGAAGGAGCTTTAGTGAAATCTGAGCAGGTATTTTACTTTGATTCTTGGATATACTTCAAAAATTTGTTTGCAAAACCAGAAAGCCATCAAGAACTAATGGAACAGAATAAAATGGGCAAGAGTCGCTTACACTGAAAATGATATCTTCATAGCTTTTATTTTCATTTGATTTATGGGTTTGGGAAAGGATTACATTCTAGGGTAAAGTTCTAAGTGTGCAGTGATCAGTAGAATTTGTTTTCATGATGACCATTCTTCATTTAAAACGCTCCCACTGAAGTGTGCTATTCTCACCACCCGTGGTGTAAGAGCCAAGAGTCTTTCTTTGGGAGAACCGGGCAAGGTAAAAGTTAATAATAATTCATTAAACATATACATATGCTAATGACAATGCTTGTTTCTGCTTGATAGCTTGCAGAGAGCTGGATGGTTTACTCTGGACCTGCCAGTGGGATTCTCAGTCTGGTTGTGTCTGAAAAGTATATATGGTGCTTGGACTACAAGGGCTCCCTGTATTGCAGTGCTCTCCCTGGTGCGGGACTACGATGGCAGAAGTTTGAAGAATCTGTCCAGCAGGTGGCAGTTTCTCCCACAGGTTAGGTAACTTTCATACTACTGATGTAAGACATGTTTACATTGAACTCACTCCAAATCCATTCTGTACAACATGTACACAAAACACCAGCACCCTGGTTTAGTGGTGTTCTGAAAAAAAATGCCTTTTTATTTTATTAAGAATACAGTTTGTGTATGAAACACAGAGGGCTGCGCTCACATGAACATGCATAATTATATGGGGCCAATTCATACAACATATAACATCCAGTGCACTCACTTATTCATTAAACGGCAATTTCAAAGCTCACAGAATACAATGGTGTTTATTCGTTTTTTGTTTTTTTAGTAAGTCTATGATCATATGATTCTTTTTTTTTTAAATAGTTTGTCACCCACCTAATGGTACCATTAGGACATGGCCAGTTCCAGGTCAAACTGTTTCAAGAAATTTAACTAAAACACGGGTCCCCAAGGTCACTGCTCGGCCGGTAAATGTATTTAAAGTGTTTTCAAAATGACAGTGCTAATCGGGAAGTGTGACTTTCACGTTTGCAATAGATTAGCAGAGGTTCGGGCTGTGGATATCTCTGCGATCCCTGTCGAAAGCATGTAGTTTGAATTCTCCAAAGAGTGGCGCTGTTACTCTGGTTATCCACGTTTGTATTGCACCCTCTTGTTACATTACATTCAGTAGCATGGCAGCTTAAATTTGACTATTAGGACTGTCTCGTCCATGTCTTTTATCAGTTAATAACCCTTGACAAAGCCAGTCCCTATTTCCTTGCTCCATGATCCTGTATATAAGCTGACAATTTAGCATATGGTGTGTAGACTTGTTTTTTCCTTACACTTCATGTTTGTTGGGTTTTTATTTTTATATTCTGTTCTTTCTTTAGGGAACCTTCTTTGGAAAGTAGAGCAAAAGACAGACAAAGCCTTTGCTTGCGGAAAGGTAACAATTAAAGGAAAGAGACACTGGTATGAAGCCCTTCCTCAGGTTTCATTTGTGGCATTGAGTGATGACACGGCTTGGATCATTCGAACAAACGGAGATCTATACTTGCAAACAGGTCAGTTGGAGGTTTGCTAACTCTGCTAACATTGTCTTAACGTTGATGATACATAGGGAACTGTGGACTTTATATTCTTTCTTATTCTAGATTTATGTGGATTCCTTAAAGTGATTAAAAATGTAAAAATAATAGTTTAAAACGTTTAATAATGTGTACAGAGCCCAATAATGCATAAAGTATATACTTTTGAGAGTGGTGCCTGACTGTGATGCTGGACTCGATACTGGAGTGAGCTCCGGAATGATAACTTATCGCAGTTATCCAGAGATTTTTATACCATCACGATTCCTGTAACATTCTAGGGGTTTATAGGGGCAGGGCTCACTATCAGCGAATATCTGTGGACACACAGCCAGATAATTAGATGCGTGATTTGAAGCCTGATGCGCCCTGAGAAGTGACTAATCTCCCTCCTGGATCAGTCCGAACTGTTGGCTTGTGCCCCTCTGTATATAAGACAGAGGACCAGAGAGGATGCACGGCCAGACAATAAGCCCACAATCGTGCTTAAGTCAATATCTTGAGTAGAGACCAAGTCGACGATAATAACGCTTGGAACTGGGGAAGTATAACCACGAATCCTTCAGAATAGACGCCGAGCTCCGTTTGCCTAAATTGACAAAACTCCCTCTCTGCACTGCCCTCAGTGACATGTTTCGCATATGTAACCTCTTCAGATTGGTAATTGGGAATCTGCAATGAATTCTGGTTAAAGCTGGCCACCTGAATGCATCAATCTGCTGCCTCAGAATCCACTAGTTACTAGCGTGTGGCTCCATCTCCAGAACAGAGCGTTGTCAACTAATTAGACCCACATCAGAGAAAGCTGAATACAGTCCATCATAAAGCCTCGGTCCCAGGGGGTCATGCTTGGAAATTCCCTTGGAGTCTCGGTTTCCAGGGGGGACTTTGCTGACAACACGGTGCTTATCTCACCATCGCAATGCGATACTATATTTGCATATTATGCTTGAAGCATCTCATTCCAGTGCAGGACTATGCTCTGCCCCTGGAGGGTATAGGCTAGCCTGGAACTCTTTGGAGCCATGCCACTCAAGAAGATATTAGCTTGAGACAGTGTGGCATAAATGTATTCAACTGCATAGTCTAAAGTATAGCCAAAATTTGGTCAAACATGTGGATACATCCTTTCATATAATGACCCAGACTCTCTTCCAGGGATCTTGCGTAGATTTCTGGAGGGCTATTATTATCTCAATGGCAACCAGCACATGGTAATGACTTTGCGTCTTTCTCCTACAAGGTTTGAGCGTTGATCGTCCTTGTGCCCGAGCTGAAAAGGTTGATTGTCCCTGCCCATTGTCCCAGATTTCTGCCAGGAATAATGTGGTTTGGGCACTTACTGAGCAACGTGGCCTACTATACCGGGAAGGAGTGAACAGCTTCTCACCTGCAGGCGATGAGTGGAAATGTGATCTCATCAGGTAATTTTAAGTAGTTTCTTAAAACCGAGAAACTAATGGTAAAATCCTTAGCAGAAGATACTTTCTCCCTCGATTCTTTTAAACCTAAATAATAATGCAGACATTTTCTGATCGCATGTGGCTCATAACTAGTATCTGCGAGTGACGTGGTCCTCTGGTTTTCCATTTTTATGTTATCACGGTTTTGGTTTGGTTTTTTTTCTATGTATTTCTTATAAAATGTATCTGATTCTTGCCTGGTTGCTTTTACATTCCCCTTTGTTTCATGGTTCATCATTCTTACAAATGAGTCAACGCTATTTTCTTGATTAGTAATTCTAAATGCACTTTTAAAAAAAAAAAAAAAAAATTTTTTTTTTTATTTTTTTTTATTTTTTTATTGAATTTCAGTCATAACTATTTGTTATGAAACAGATAAAATAATGAATAATAAGCATACGGCATTATCAAGATGAGACCTGAATAAAGTTGTTTATGAAGGGATAAAAGCATCAACGCAATAATGTCCCAATTGTGTTTATCCCTTTTCTTCAGTGAAAGGCAAGCATTGGAACCAGTCTGTTTGGCCATTGGAGACCAAGAGACTGTCTGGACCCTGGATGCTAGCGGTAACCTGTGGTTCAGGACTGGAGTAACTTCAAAAAGACCTGAAGGAGAAGATGACCATTGGTGGCAAGTAGGCATTTTCTATCTGCTTTGTGGTACTAAATGAACAGTTCTTTTATTATACTTCTCATTTATGTTACTATGCATCATTTTAGACTTCTATGCGGTTCTTGACTTCCCATCTTTCTCTGATCTTCTTCCTAGACTAACAGGCTTTCATAAACAATATTAAGGTCTTTCATGGATATATTGCACATGTTTGTCATAAATTAAACCGTGTGCTCACAGCTGGTCATGGGATGGTCCATTAACCGCACATCTCACGCAGGTCAATAGCACTGACCTAACGGGTGTACAGGCGGTGCGGGCACACAACAAATACTTACGTGACTCAAGTTTGAAGCTAGACTTCTCCATATGATATCAGTTGGAGGAACCTGAAATTCGCATGTTAAAAATGAGGGTGCATGGGAAATGTAAAGGATATTTTCCTGGACCTCTTTGTAGCTCCATAACCATTACACTAAGCTGTAGAGGTTGTGGTGATTAGAGTGTCTCTTTAAGCCCTGCGCCCTGTATTAACTAAAAGGATTAATTTAATATTCTGGTTGTCCTGAGGGATGAGGAGCCTTCCTTCTTACTTGGCCTTCAGGACATGCCTTGCCTAAACCACTTCCATGGAATAAACTGACATGGATTAGACCTACAGAGCCAGTATAGATAATGTCCCTTGTAATGGGGGCTTGGAGAAGACATCTGGACCAGTTTAATGTTTCTCTTGAAACTTGCAATTAATCATGATCTCTGTAATTGTTAACCAAGATCAGAAATCTATTAAAATAATAATGTCCCATTTGTAAGTTACAAAGAAATGCATGTAAGGAGCTTGTATCTCTATTTCAGAAACCAGATAGACACGTTGCATTCTGAGTCTAACTCCATCTGCCTTTTGCAGGTCAGCATCACAGATTACGTTGTCTTCGACCACTACACCTTATTTCAAACCTTGATCCAGGCAACACACACTGTGGCCACCGTGGCACAGGCACCTGTTGAAAAAGTAGCCGACAAGCTTCGAATGACGTTCTGCTCCCAGCAGACCCAGTGCCAGCCCAGCCTGCTCGGAGTCAATAGGAGCGGTGTGTGGATTACTTCTGGCAAAAATGAGTTTCATGTGGCTAAAGGAAGCCTAGTAGGTGGGTTTGTTTCAAATAGCTATTAAGACTAAAGGGACAAAACTGATGGCTGGGAGTTGAGCAGGAAGTCCAGCAAAACAGTAAGCAAATAAAATAGAATAGCTATGGTTTTAAGGAGAGATCTTGACACTTAGAACAAAGGGACAATCTGCCACTTTATTTATAACTGGTGACAATTAATTTGGAATATGTGGACGTGTCCTGGAGACCGCTTCTCCACAAGGTCAGGTCTTTACTTTTTGTCTGAACACGTGTTTAGATGCTTAGGGGGTAAGGGGTAATTATTTCATTAGAAATTGGCACTTTTCTAAATTAACTTTGTTGCTGTTACTTCCTGTTTTTTTTAGCTCCGTTTAGCTAAACTCAATAGACAATTGCTCAGAGCACCTGCTTTGCAAACATCCTTCTTGTCACTTGTGAGTCCAAGAGTCCGTTTCTTGTTCCTTCACTACAGTAAATGCTATTGCAAAGATTACCATGGTGAAAAAGCGTGGAGACAAGTCTTAAAAAAACAAACTGTACCTCCATTGCACTTCACTGTCCCATAATGCTTCAGGGGTGCATGTGTGCTCTTGAGCATCTATCAAAGAAATGCTTAACACATCTGTTCACTGGATTTTCTGCAGAAGTGCCATTTTATTATTATTATTATTATTATTTATATAGCACCAACTAATTCCGCAGCACTTTGCAATATTATAAAGGTGGAAATTTACAATAAATGAGACAATTCCACAGTGACAAAGGAAAAATGGGCAGATGAGGACCCTGCTCAAATGAGTCTAGACAGTCTAAACAGTCTAGATGAGGTGGAGTACAAACACACAACAGGGCAGCAAGGGTGACAGTCACCAAACAAGGTGGAAAAGTAGCAGTGGAGTTTGGCTCTTTAGGAGAGCAAGAGACCAATTTGGATAAGTATAGATAAGTTACTCTGGAAGTCCATAAGCATTCCTGAACAGATGTGTTTTGAGGGACTTCTTAAACCATTGAAAAAGAAAGCAACCAATCAGAAGGTTAGGAATCAAATTACGCAGCATGGGAAAATTCCAAAGAACTTTCCCACGCTGTGTATAATGACACAGAGCACTCTGATTGGTTGGATTTCAAGTCAAACAGAGGTGTGACAGGTAAATGTAGAGACTTACCTGTCAGGTCATTAGGTCCCCTGTCCCCATTATGGACCTGGGGGGACATTAGGTCTCCCCCATTATTTAATTATTCAAGATCCCCACCCACCAGTCATGGGGGGGGATATTAGGTCCCCCCTTAATTAGGTTCCCCACCTGCCGCTCATGGGTGGGGCCCAGGAGGGACATTAGGTCCCCCCCTTTAATTGGGGTCCCCATCTGCCGCTCATGGGTGGGGACCTGGGGGGGACATTAGGTTCCCTCCTTTATTTAATTAGGGTCCCAATCTGCCACTCATGGATGGAGACCTAGGGGAAACATTAGTTTCCCTGCATTATTTAAGGTCCCCATCCCCCAGTCGTGGGGGGGGCATTAGATCCTCTTCATTATTTAGGGTGCCCACCTGCTGTTCATGGGTGGGAACCAGGTGGAACATTAGATCCCCCATTATTTAATTAAGGTCCACACCCTGCTGTCATGGGTGGGGGCCTGGGGGACACCCTCAGTTTATATTAATACCCCCCATCCGTGGGTAGCAGGGGGGGCATGATGTCCATCTCCCCCATTTTGGTTCCCCACCATAGGAGAGCCTGTGCCAGTTCCCCCCCATGTAGTAGGGGCATGTCTCCTATACACACCCCAGGTGTAGTAGGAGCATGTCTCCTAAACAGAGAGCAGCCAGTGGTTGATTGCGGTCATTTAAAACTATCACTTCTATGTAAATCTGTATCTTGTATAGAAGTGATCGAAAGCTACCGTAAGTGTAAAAAGTAGCTAGTTAGATCAGTAGCACAGCCTTATTGTGTTACTGATCTAAATTGCTACTTTTTCATATTGCAACATTGTTATAGTTTTTGCCATAACTATTGGTTACACGTACTCTAACTGTAGCTCTCTATCACTTCTAAACAAGATACTGATTTATATACCGTTTTAAATGACAGTGAGCGACATGCTCGCGTGGAGAATTTAACCTGTGCCAGGTCCCCCCTTATTGCTGTTGCTGCCCAGTCACTAGTAATGTTAAATTTGTTTAGGCGACATGCCCCTACTAGCAGCATGGTTAATGGTTAATCAAGTATTTATCTAGGATCTCTTTACCAGGGTTTCTTTGGTTTGCAGCATTGCCTAATGGTGGCACTATTTATTTATTTATGAGCACTTGCACTTAGAATTAGACTATAGCTCCATTATGTTCTATTTCTGCTGTTTTTGGTTTAATGTTTTGTCGGACCAAGATTCCCAGCAATTGTTTAATGAATCGATCCTGAAAATTCGGTCACTTCACAAACCATCCAAAAGCAGAATCTTTCGATTGCCGGGAATTTTATTTGGACGAATTGCTAAAAACGAATTTTTGCACATCTCTATAACGTACTATGCTCAACAGAACTACACCTAAAGCACTCTGAGACTATGGCTAATATGACTATTTTTATGTGAGCATTGCAATCACCAGAACAGTATAGAGCTTTTAAAAATAACACTAATGGGGAAAAAAGTGAAATCAGTGACGAATTTTGTAAAAATTTTTTTTTTTACATTTTCTTTTCTTTAGGAACTTATTGGCATAATATTGTTCTACGCGGTACAGCCTCAACTACCAGATGGGCAAGTGTATCGGCTTCTGTGTCTCCTACTGCAGAAGGTGAGTGAGCTTATCTGTTGCACGTAGAACGGTGTATGTTGATGAATTGAAAACTGAATGGAAAACATAAGGCATGACTAGGTACGGTAGCTGTTGATATATCGTAAATATAGAATTTTTTTCAATTTAGCTACTTTGGCCTAACGCTTGCAGGTCTTGCTTTTTAATGAATTAACTCCGCAGTGAATCTGTATCACATTTAATAGCAGTTGTAGAAGCTCTGTTTTTTGGGGGTGTTTTTTTGTTTAGACATGCGATACGGTTATATTTAGCATTATCACCAACACAAGATATGTGTGAAGTTAGACATACACAGCTATTGTACGAAACAGAAGTTTCCACGGATTGACTTGAACAATATTAAATAGTAGAGTTGAGCGGACACCTGGATGTTCGGGTCCGGTGGGTTCGGCCGAACTTTGAAAAAAAAGTCCGGGTTCGGGATCGAATTTGACCCTGAACCCGAACTCCATTGAAGTCAATGGGGACCCGAACTTTTGGGCACAAAAATGCCTCTAAAAAAGTCCTGGTAAAATTTCCCACGCTGTGTAAAATGACACGGAGCACTCTGATTGGATGGATTTCAAGCTAACCAATCAGAGTGCTCTGTGTCCTTTTACACAGCGTGGGAAAGTTCTTTGGAATTTTCCCACGCTGTGTAAAATGACACAGAGCACTCTGGTGGATTTCAAGCCAACCAATCAGAGTGCTGTGACAGGTAAATGTAGAGACTTACCTGTCAGAGCACTCTGGATGGCTTAAACCCATCAATCAGAGTGCTCTGAGCCTAATTGCAGGGCAGGGCAAGGCTTTATAAGGCTTCCCCTGCCCTGCAGAGCTCAGTCTGCGTGGAGCCCTCCATGGGTGAAAAATTGATTATTTTTTTGGCGCTCGTTTTTTTTAAAGTGCGTCGGTTATTATGGATTTGTATTTGGTCTTTTTTGGGGCTGAAAAAAGATTTTAGAAGAAGGAAGACATCAAATGTTAAGTCTATTTTTTTTAACAGGTATTTAGATAAGGGTCCCCCCCCTTTTTAGGATGAGGGGGGTAGGTAGGGGATTTTTTTGGGGGGTAAGGGGGATGACTAGGGGTTTGGGGACCCCTAGTCACCTCAGCGGGGGCGGGGGGTTAATATTTAGAACCTCCACCCGCCGCTCAGGGGTGGGGGCCAGCGGGGAGGACAGAACATTAGGTGTGTGTGTCCCCAATTTTTATTTATGGCCCCCACAATTTTTATTTATGGCCCCCACCCACCGTTCAGGGCATGTGTGAAATGTCATGATTGCCTTTTATTCCAGAAGTTTGGTCCTTAAGGGGGTTAAAAGCCCCCACTAGCGGGTGCGGGCAATGTTTTTTTTGTTGTTTTTTTACAGTGAGCAGCCACAGCGAGTAGGGGCAAAATGTATTAGTACTAAGTAACCAGCTTATATAGAGGCTGGGTCACATGCTGCACTGGCCAATCACAGCCATGCCATTAGTAGGCATGTCTGTGATGGCTTCTAAGGGCACACGAGTCAAACGCTTGTTGATTGGCTGCCTTGCAACCTTTCAAAACGCGTCATTAAATCGCCGAACTCCAACACGAACATACAGTGATATGTCCTTGTTCGGGTCCGGGGTCCAAAAAACGTAATGTTCGGTATGAACTCTATTAAATAGTCCTCATGCAATAACTTTGAAGCTAGGCCTGTGCTATAGTTGGTGATAAGAACACTGAGAACAACAACGTTGGCCCTGATAAATATATATCCACCAGGTAAATCTAAGATAGACAGCAGTGCTGGGAAGTGGATCTGTCATATTGGCTTAATCAAAATCGAGGTAAGCATTAGATAAGACACTGAAAAACTATTTTAAGCAGCAGTCGGAGCTCAGTGACTCACCTGGCATAATGAGGTTGCTACAGTCACTTATTAAGTAACTTAGACTTACTAGAACCAGGTATCAATCAGCCAGCCAGCTAGGCAGGTTGCTCCAAGTCTGCGTAGGAGAAGGTGAGTATTGTCGCCTCCGCACCATACCAGCAATGCAGGATGGATTGGTTCATGTAGAGCTACATGTTGGTGCCCCAAAACCTCAACTTTTAGTAGGATTATTTTTGTTTTTTTGTTTGTTTTTCAAAAAGAATGGCAATGGAATGTTGCATTTTAGGTTAAAATAGTGTGTTTAAAAAAGTTTTTAAAAATCTAAAGTGGCTATATGTAAGACCGTTCACCTCTCTCAACATTTTGAATTTGTTCCATATTATTTTTCTGCACAAATTCTAATACAGTGTGAAATAGTTGCCCTCCACATGGGCATATTTTGCATTTTTGAACATATTTTGAACATGTAATATTTTCTTAAAATATTCCCATATCTTGTGATGCGTTTTACAGCTATCCTGGATCATTGTGATACTTGGCACATAATTAATTATATGTCCTATAGTTTTTCAATACTTATATTTTTGTTTTCCCTCCTTCTTTCTCTCCAGGAAGTGTGCTTTGGATTTGTCAAAGCAGAAAGGATCTGTTCTGTTTGACGGATCTGAACCCTCCATTTAGACCTTCCACGGTCCAACTCCCACCGGACACTGAAATGATCCACATCTCCGCTTGTCCAGACGCTGTATGGGCACTAGATATTCATGGAGGCGTGTTCATCCGAACACTTTCCAAGACCTGCCCAACGGGAATGCATTGGACGCGACTTGATCTGTCTCAGCTTGGTAAGGATGTCTTGGTTTGCGATCTCCACCTAGAGAACCTGTACACCGCCCCACCTCTTACACTGCCCAGATTTACTGACCCATAGACTTATCAGTTCTTTCTCATAACCTAAATCCATTTCCAATTTGAAACATGTGCTACTAAGTCTAGGAAAATAGGCAGTTTAACAGCATCAACTGAACAAGAGGGGAGATTAACGGTTAGTGGAAGAGATTACTTGCCAGAAAGGCTGTAGATACCAGGAGTGGCCTACAGGTGCTGTAGACGAGGGGGGAAATTTAATGAAATTCAAAGAATACGTGGGAAGGGTAAAAAGTAGAATAAATAAAATAAGTATGCGATTTCATAATTAGAGTAGGTGAAGCCCAAAGGTTCTTAGCCACTGTCATATTCTGTTACACCATAACTCTTTGCTTGCGGTATCTTGCAACTTATACATAGTCTCTTTAAACCTATTGCTTTATCAGAGTGATGATGCAATAACATGTACTTTTTGAGAATAATGTTAATGTCCTATTATGCTGTGCTGGGCACTGCATTGCTCAATGGGAGGCATCCAACGTGCTAGCAAGTTGCATAGTCTTTCTATGAAATAAACACACAAATGTGTCCCCTAAATTTATTTTTTAGCTAGAGTAGTTTCTAACGCACAATAGCAACTGTTGCTGGTCCCAACCTCTTTTTAATGGAAGTAGATAAGAATAAATAGGCGCCAATCTTAAATACAAAACAATTATAATAATAATCAAAGCCTAGTTAAGGGTCGATAAGTACAACTACATCTGGCCCCTCTTTATTTCTTTGTGTACTGCAATGTTGTGGGGGGTTTGGTGCAGTGTAGATAATATGTAGTAGGAAGCGTGAATGCAGCTCTTTAAACTCCTATTTCTGCTGGAGGAGATCCTGCATTATGTGCACAGTGACATGATTTCTTGCTATAGAGAATACAGTGTTCTCTTGAGATCAAAATTGAGAAGAGAGACTCCTCGTCTGGGACAAAATCTGTTTTGTATGTTCTATCAGAAAGCTATGATACAATATAGTCAGATGAAAAGAATCTCGCTACCAGCTTCCAACATAAGCTCTACAGGAAACATCCTTAACAAACTTGTGGAAATGTCTTCATTTTCTTGGTGTGAGCCCCATATTACCGGCTGCCTATAGATTGGGTCTATAGAACAAAAGGAGAGGAAAGCATTGCTTAATTAATCCATTATAAGCCATCTGCTAGCTTAGCATCAGGGAAGGTATAGTGCCATATTGCCTGTGCCTGCTAACTGTAGGCCAAGTTAACAGAGATGAAAAGGTTGGAGTTTTTGTTTAGCTTTGTTTTTTGTTTGACTAATTTAGCCCAAAATGTTCTACTCACTAACCCATTCTCAGCAATTGACAATGACAAGTCATTAAACTTGCAGAGGATATTAAAGACTTTTTGTATAGATGCAAGCCTGTTTAGCAAACCTTCCAAATTCTACTTCTCTGAATTTGCAGCTCTGCTAAAATGTGAGACGTTAAAAGACATCTGCCTACAAGATTTTAATTTTAAAGATGTAAAAAAAAACAGGGTTCAAGACAATACAGAGAACGGACATCCGCTCAAAAAGCCTGCCCTTCCGTGGGTCCCTGCTCAGATCTCGAGCTGGTTTTAGCCCATCTTGTGCCATTACAAAGAATCAGCTCCATTTGCATATCAGACAGATTATCAGACAGATTCCACCCAAAATGGCAGAAGAGATCCAAAATGCAGGCCAGGTCTCTCTGCACGAGTGATACAGCAACCCCAGGCGATCATTTCAACCTTGTTAGGCATTGTCAGTATGGTATAGCCAATACTTCTCAATGCACTGTGAGCAAGAGGTCCGAGGTCCATGTCTGGATCTTAAAGATGCATGCTAACAGGCTTCCTAGCAAAAGACCATGCAGACGTACACCTTGCAATTCCTTCAGATAATTTCTACCCAATTCCTAGTTTACTGAATGCATACCTAGGATATTATTGCAGAGTTTGGCACAATTCACACTGTAGTCAATACACCATGTGTTAAGGAAATCACCAGCCAATCCTATCATACTTGGCACAATAGTTATTTTGGGATGCTTGGCAAAGGTGTTGTAAACTGACAATTTCTTTATACTTACCTACTCACTTGCCCAGTATTTGACTAGCCCAATATATAGGTTAAATCGTAATGACTGCAACATCTATCAAACTAAGCTTGCTTTAATACAATACTTCTTAGAAAACTCTCTGCTTTAGTAAGTCTTTTTCTGAAACCTTTGTTTTGTTTAATCTTCTCTCTTGGTTTGCTGCAAGTGTTTTATTCCATTCCTGACTTTTCAATGGCTATATCTGTAAAAAAAAATGTTAAAAAATGACATTCGTGTGTGTGTATAAGGTTACAAGATCACTGTCAAAGCTTCTAAACTTAGAGCGAATGTTCTGTTTTCTCCTGCTCGTCATTGATTGCCAGCTGGCAGTGTCGTCATGTCAGACAGAACGTGTAAAACTCGCGCAAACAGGGATTAACTCTCGGTGCCCATTCCTAAACATTCTATTTAGGTGGGCTTTGTATAAAGGCCAGTTTGTGAATGCAGCTTGTTGTGTTCAGGAAAAGTCCTGAGCGTGTTTGTTCTTGAATTCAGTACCTGAGCACAGTGAAATCCGATACTGGCCAGGCAGACTATGACGTACGCTGGGACTGACACATTTCAACAGCTGAGCCATTGTGACAGTCAGCGATATCTTAGACTCGAGTCACACGTATATGTGACACTGTACAACCTTTACGACTTTGCAACTTAATGTCACAGTCTGGAAAGTCAAACTAAAATAAATTATTGCTCGTTTTGCAGCTATCAGTGTGTTACGGTGCCAGTGATTTAGATCTTTTGGTTTACCAAACACCGGGATTAATGAACGGGTAACCCATCACCTCTTACAGAGATACTACAAACATACCTGCTGATTGGCAATGTGTAATAGGAGTTGGTGGACTGCAGGTTTTCTAGTCTTGGTCTAATAGTTTTCCAAGTTGCTTCTAAAAACAAGTTTGTTTGTTTTTATTCGTTTTTTTTTTTGTTTGTTTTTTTTCTTTTGCTTCCGGAGAAAATTTAGTTGATATTTGATTAATTTTACCTCCCTGGTACCAGAGCCTACCTGCAGTGGCAGACTTGTGCGGTCAGTGATGGCTACACACCACCTGATTCACGCTGTACTGAACTGTGATAGCAGCTGCCATTTTGCTGCTCTCAGGTTATAGAGCAGGTCCGCTATCCTATATGACAAGTGATGTTGTCGCTGAGGATTACACTACTTGTCCCATAAAGCTCTACGGTGTGAATATCCTGCACGTGTATACACCGTGTTACATGTTTCTTGGATCCCGTATCATATGAAGAATACAGTTTATGTATTTTCACCTGTTGGTTTGTATCTCACATTCTACCTTTTAAATTCTTATTGCCAACATCTTTGGACCCTAACTCTCCTTGTCATGATTGGTCATGTTTTCGATTCTAGCAAATTGGTCTGTATTTCATGTACACTTTATTGGGTGGAATAATAGTGTCTGCTTTCTTGGGTGATATGTTCGACATCTCAAAGCCTGTTTCCTGATTGTCCTCTTTCACTTTCCATCCTATTTTATATCTTGAGAAAAGTCTGTGTTTGAGACTAAAATGTCAGTATTGTATCAATTTTACATGCATATGAAGGAATAAAGCAGATGTGGCATTTTCCAAATATATAAATAAAATGTATTCTAGTTCTATATGGTTTTGTCTTGTACTTATTTTGTTGACATTGAACATCAGGGTTAGAAGGCAAGAAAGACACTTCTCTGTTTGACCCTCAGCAGCCGATATTATCACTAATGACACTTGAATAATTTGTGCCAGATGCTCTACATGTGGAATCTCAAAAATTCAGAGCACTTTTAAGTGTCTCTCCAGCATCCAACAAGGTGGATCAGCAGCAATATAGAAAAATATTAAAATAAAAGTTTATTAAAAAAAAAGTCAGTATCAATAAGGTTGCATTATTTTCAAAGCTTATTGTTAGTTTATTTTTTATCTATTTTTTTTTTCCCCCTCTGTTTCTTAAAATCTCCCCAGTAAAGCGATCGCTTGAGATTTCTCCCTATATACACCTGTTCTCTCGGTACATGCTCTGTGACATATGTTATAAAGTGTTAACGCCTGTTTATATCCTTGCTAATCTGCATCTTCCCGTGGCTCACTGACCTCTGCTATTAATGCCTCACATTTGGTATAGCATCATCTAGATTATACATTGTTTGGATATCTGATCCACCGTCTTGTAGCTAAAGGGAATTCTCTATTCCTGCACTGATTACATCAGAATAAACGTTCTGTATTGTGATTCTAAAGGAGTTTTGTGGTGTGATGCAAAAGTTGTTTTTTTTGTTTTTTAAATCAAATATTTTAGAGTGTATATTGGTTTTATTTACCTATAACATTTTGATCCAAGATTTGACATTTTCTGGGAATTTTATCAATTTTCCATCTTTTTCAGGCCCTGTAAAACTCTGCAGTTTTTCCTGTGGAAATCAGCACATCTGGGCATGTGACACCAGTGGAGTTATTTATTTCCGAGTGGGTACACAGCCTTTGAACCCTAGTATGATGCTGCCTGCGTGGATCATGATCGAGCCACCAATTCAGGTAAGATTTTAAGCCTTTGCGATCAATTCCTTTTTGCTTGATAGACTGTTTGTAAATTAAACACAATCACTGCAATACTTTAAACGCCTGAAGATCTAGCATTGTTTAAAAAGAAATAATCTGGTCCCAATGTGCCTGTGGATTGTCTTGAGTTGAGCAACTTGGTCTATATTAAACTTGAAATGCAAAGAGATTCTCAGGGTTAAAGGGACACTCCACTGCCCAAATACAAAATACCTAAAAATTACAGTTTAGTAGATGATATACCCCAAATTAAAACTTGCGTGCATTTACTTGTGCATTTTTTTTCAGTGTGTGTATGTGTGTATATATGTGTGTGTGTGTGTGTGTGTGTATATATATATATATATATATATATATATATATATATATATATATATATATATATATGTGTGTGTGTATATATATGTGTATGTGCATATATATATATATATATATATATATATATATATACACACACACAAAATACAGAATCCAGCGCACTCGCTTAATCACTAAACAATGATTTTATATATATATATATATATAAATATATATATATATATATATATAGAGGCAGAAGCTGCAGATCTCTTGTCTGTGGCTATCCAATCGCAGACTTCCCAATGCAGCTTAATGAGAAGTCTTTGCGAATACCAGTGCAAATAAGCTAACCAAACCAAGAAGTTACAGGACCTTGAATAGCCTGGAGGTGTAACCAGTATAATTTATTTTCAAAAAATTAAATTTTCTATTGAAATCAGCACTTTTTCCAAAATGAAAAAGGACCCATTCTTCACACACAAAGCTTTTTAGCAAACTAAAGTGCATTAGGGGTCTGACGTGCCCCTTTAAATCAACACTCCTTTGGCCAATTTATTTTAATCTCTATTCAGGACATATACCCCCAATGAAAACATGCATTTATGTAATTATCATTGGGTGATTATCTATTGAAGTCAGTTCATATAAACTGTCACAAATGTGACCGGCTCCATACACCCGTGTTTGGCTTGTTCCTCTAACAGAGTCTGGCCAGTTTGCTTCTTTCATTGGGGAAAATTTGGGATTGGAGTTTAATGAATAGCAGAAGATGAATATTGTACAGAGTTTCATCTCATACAAAGTCTTGGTAAATGGGCGTTTATAGTGATTAATGGTATAGGGACTGGGGAAAATTAAGATTACAAGTTACATAAATATTAAATTGACTTTTTAGGAGCTTAGAGGAACATGATGTTTCATATACTTTAGCGATAAAAATGTTAGAAATCCGTTTTCTGATTCTTAATTGCCTTTCCATGTAATTATTTTTTAGCCCCTGGAAAAACTGATGCTTACTGCCCTTGTCATCCTACAGATATTCTAAAGCCCGATGATGTTAAATGAAGACAGTGTTCCATAATGAGACATTGTCTTCTAACACCAGATATTAGAACAGCGAGTCGTTGCTTTAAGGGGTTAATCTGTGGCTTGCTTTACACTTGTTTTGGAGTTTGTTTTTCTGGTCCGGTGGCTTACTAGAAGTTTTTGTTTGCAGGCACACCTGTGTATAAATCGCTGAAGATATACTAATTTGTTGTAAATGCTGACTGGTTGCTAGGCTGGTGGTCACAAAGCCTTGTTTTCTTTCGATACTATTGTATAAAGAACAATACCAGCTAAATGTCTAGTGTAAACTCAAATGGTGATCAATTGCAGACGGTTTCACCAGAGATCACAATTAGTAACTTTCTATTGCTGTTAAATGACATTGATCTGAATAGTGCTTTATGGTGAATCTGTGCACGTCATTGATGTTTGGTTGCCTATACTTGTATCTCGGGTAGCAGGACAGTAATTCTGATGTCTTTGTTTGAAGACCAGCATGATTTTGGACCCTTACTCTCTTTACCTAATGCTCAGAATCCTGATCTCACATTCTGCTTAGATTAAATATTTAGTTTTTCAGTAAAAACATATTTGGGGTTTGGTTTCTTATCTTTCAATCCTGGACACCGTTGGGCTGTAACTATATATAAATTATTTTGTACAGTGGATATTGCAATTCTGTTATGTAGTCACCAAAAATTCACTATTTAGTGAATTAGAAGCTTTGTCTGACTTGTATATTGCTGCCGCTTATTAGTTCCTATTTAAACATAGAGATTTTTTTGGGGGAAGGAGGGGTGTTAATGCTGGAAGATCTGACCATACCAAACAGGCTATCCAATCTTTTCTATATGGATGCTGGCATCTTGTCCGATGTTGCATTCTTGGACCAGCACCTTGAGTTTTGTGCCAGAATGCCTCCAAGATGACTCAGTGCTGTAGTCCTAACATCTTAGTGATGTAATGTGAGAATCTACACAAATCCTTTAAATCCAATTGTGCTTATTTTATCACAAGTATTCAAAGGCAGTCTGTGGCCAAGAGCATCCATGATATCGCAGGACTCCGGATTAGCATTGCTTTCCAAGAAAGGTGGAAATCCGATATAGAATATGGGCTGTGGCACAGTAAAAGGACTGAGATGCGAAAGTTGAGCTCAAATGGGTCTGGGCACTTTTACTTCTGTAATTCATTTTTTCCATCAATTTGGCACTGCAGCTAAAAATGCTCAAAACGTCCTCCGTCGTTGCTAGAGAAGAATGAAGTCTTTTGTTTTTTGTTATGAATTACTGTAATTGCGTTCAGACAAGACAGTCGTGTTTTGTTTTTTACACTAAAGTCAAAATCTGTCCATGGAGCAAAAACAGGAGTCTTGTAAAGTGCAACATATTTTATGCTCTTCCAATATATATGATGGTAAACTCCGGGTATTGTACACATGGCTTCTTTCATATTGCAATAAGTTATTTTATTTATTATCCATGTTCACTGTTTATTTTTCTGTTTCTAGCCGGTAGGAATCAACCTGGTTCGAGTCTTTTCCAGTCCCAATGACTGCATGCTCTGGACCATTGATAACAAATACAATGTTTACGTAAGGATTGGAATAACCGAAGAAATGCCCGTTGGAATAGACTGGGAGCATGTACCGGGTATGTTTTTGTAATTTATTTGCTTTAGTTGCCATTCTGTGCCATTTCTAGGCAGGTTGCCATGTGCGTTTGGATGTAGGAATGGGGGCATCTGAGGTGGGGAGGGGGCTGAGTGCGTGTGTCTGAATGTGGCTTGTTTGTGTGAAGGTTTGACAGCCACCCCTTCTTGCTTTACTTTCCTGGTGGTCCAATGGTGGTGAGTTAGATACATGGTGGTCTTGTGAGGGAGCTTCATAGACTGTGCCTATGCTTTAAGAGAACCTTTGCGTCTGTGGCGCTCTGAATCGTCGAAGTTGCGTGGGCACCAGGGTCTGTACCTGATGCTGCTACAGGCTACAATGCTCCACACTGACTCAAGGGGCTCCCACTAAGACCCAGAGCTCCAGGGCCAGACGGGCCTGTCTTGGTAGCCTAATAGGTAATCCGGCTTTATTCTGTGACTCTAATTATCCCTCGCTTTTGCTCAATTCTTCATGCTGATGATGGATTCTGTACTAGGTCCAGAATTTTAAGAACATTTTTAAATCCTTTGTTATAAGAGAAACATTTAGACATTTTAACAGGGAGCTGTTAAATGACCCCAGCTTTTTTTTTTAAAATAATTATATAGATAATGCATAACAAAATGCAAAGGTTTATCAGATAAGTAGTTTATCCCCAAAGAGCAGGTCCCCTAATTACATAGAATGAGTGAAACTGCTCTAAAAGCATCTAGCCATACCAGAGCTAGCACAGATCTTTAAATGGTAAACTGGACTATGTGCACCAATCGGTAGATCAGTGTAAGGTGTTTTTATTTTATTTTTTGCTCTTTTTGTGTGCGATGGATTGATATTTGGCACCTGCAACTGATTATCAGCCTGCCCAATTCATAGCTCTGAAGCACTGGGTTGGAGCTGCACCAGGTTTTACTATCGAGTATCATGTTGGTCACGACAGGTGCATTTTTATGACATGTTTTGTGTGGATCTCAGCAAAACATTTGGCTCCTCGTGGCTCACAAGACAAACAGATTACAGTATAGTCTGTCCATGCGGGGTTTGTGTCTTAGCCTGGGAAATGTATTAACCACTTACGTGTCATGCCTCCCAAATGGCTTAGTTTATTTATTTACACGATGCAAAGATTTCTAGAATGATTCTCTCTTTACTTTCTCTCTTTAAGTGTGAATTCCAGGCTTATTTACTGAAGTGTGAATTGGTGGGAATTTAAAAGTGAATTTTACAATTGTAGGCTAAAATAATCAAACTGGAATAATTAATCTTCAGTCAGCTGTGTTTTCAATTTGACTACTTTGGCCTAAAATTTGAAATACACTTTGATTTTCACGCTTTAATGAGTAACCTGTATGCAAATGATATTTCCCCCCAAAAATAAGCAAGAACGTTACCGCAAGCTCAAAATCATTAACACGAGGAACGTCTGCATGGACCCCATTAGTAGAAAAGGTTTCTATACAAAAATGTGTTCAGGTAACACAAGAAAACAACATTTATTTTGTGAAATTGTATTGCCTTTATCGCGCTCTTTACCAAGAGACTTCCTTTCCTCTGATCATTTCACACACAGGATTGCAAGCCTGTCAGCTAGCTGTAAGTACAAGAACAGTGTGGGCGCGCTGTCCGAATGGAGACATTGCAAGACGCTACGGCATCACCGAAAAGAACTCTGCTGGAGATTACTGGAAAAAGATCCCCGGAAACGCGGCCTGGTTATCAGGCAAGTTCGTTAGTGTATCTGGGTTTAATATGTCCTTCTTTTTATTTAAAGTAAAGATTTAATTATGCCTGTTTGCAGCTGGGGAGACTTTACATTTGCTATTTTCAGAGGCCAATATGAGGGTTGTGCGGTACACTGGCAATGTCACAAGCTTGTTGTGTTGGCCCTCCCACGTTCATTGCAGGAGCTGGGGGATCACCAGACCTGCAGGACTATTGCTATTTATATCGTGTTTATAAATAACTATTGATAAATGACCCGTCCTGCTGTGTATGCCAAAATATATTTAGAGAGAACACTCGAATTTCTATGGCTTTTACACAACACACACAAATGCAAATACATTCATGTACCAAAGTACACATACCGGTATGTACCCTACAGGTTGGCTGAGCATTGGTAGTTTGGAGTGACATGGTCCATCACTGTCCGTGTAACTATAGACAAATTGCTGTGCAGTAATGTCGTGGCTTTTTTTTTTTTTTTTTTGGCACACAAATATATGGATACGGCAACACTGCAATGTATGTGTCATGTTCTGCCGAAAACGGCAACATCTCTTAAAGTGGCAGCAGGCATTCCTGTATAACTAGAGTACTGTTAATTGTCATAACATTTCCACAAATCTTCTACATCTGTCAGTCAGCACTAAAATACTGATATTGACAAATAAGAATACACATGTGCAGTGATATCCTCTTCATTACAGCTATGGCCATGGTTGATTTTGCGTAACCTCCTTTATATCAGTCTGGACCTTTATGGTGTTGTGCACGCCTGGAGTTTGCTCCTTGCACAGTTTACGGCAATAATTCCTTGTTGTCCGGGTCATTGTTACTTGGAATGACGTAGTGCATTCAGCTAGTTTTGTACTGATACTATACAGTGAAATCCTTATTTTACATACATATGACTCGATCAGTGTGTTTGATGTCCTCCAGGCCGTAGCCTACTAAGTTGTCTCCAAGAACCAGCACATTGATGTTGGAATAGTACATACATGTTGGAATAATGTCACAGCTTCTACATAAATGGATGAATGTTTGTAACCCAGGTTCCTTAAAAATATTTGCCAAAGGTCCAGCAGTAACCGTTTAGACCCTGGTGATGGCCATGTGGCACCTAGAACCTTTCACCTTTTGTTAAATCTACTTTTTACTGTTGGATACTAGGGCCATTTAATGTATCGCCATTTTTAGATGAATTGTTTAACTCTTATTAAGTCACCCCACTACACCACATAGGAATACCACTAAGGGTCGCTTCTTGACATCCCATTTAAAAAAGCGATAGATACTTTTGTGGGTTGTTAATCAGACTCCTGATTAGACTCCACTTGTCTAGTCTGATGTACTAATTTACTTATGTTTCAGCTAATTATTGCTTCATTACAGTGACCACACTGGATGAGCTGTGGGCAGTGGATACAAATGGCTATCTTCTCCAGCGACTTACCAAGACCTACAGTCATCACCCCAACATTCCCTTAAACGACACATATCTTTTGCACTCTGATTTTGAAGATGAATGGGAGGTGATCTGATGTAGTTACTGAGGATGGCTGCTGTGTGATATTCAATATGCTGCTATAAGCCTGTGTTGTCCTTATTAACATTTCATGTGTATATATACGCACTTTGCCTGGTCCATAACATTTCCATCTGCTGCACCCGTGCTCTTGTTACAGAGACACAAGACAAAGCTGTATATTGTTTTGGTATTATTTGGTGTTGTATCAATCTGTGTTCCACCCATGCATGAATAAAATGCATAGCATATCCTAACAAGGCAGATTAAACAAACCGCACAACTGATCCTTCTACAAAGTGGAATTTTAGCCCATCCCAAAAGGGAACAGGGATACCCACGGAAGAAAATTACCTTTTTAAAAGTCAAAATGGTAAACCTGCTTTACACAAAATCCAATCTTTAGAAGTCTTGCCCTGAAAATACAGCTGTTGTAAACTGCCTTTCTTCTAATAGGTTTGGAAATTATGTGAGAGATCACATGTGTATTTTATATTCCTATAATTGCATTTCATGACTTGTATCACAAAACAAATGAATTGTAAAAACGGTCCCAGGATTAAAATGTTATGTTTGAGTATCCCTATATTTATCAGATATGTACTTGTAAGGTGTAAAAATAAATGTAGAAAATCCACACCTCTCTATCCTGCACCTGGCACTCCACATAGAGAAGAGGACAAATGAAACAATGTTTCTATTCCTCCTTCTCATTTGCATTGTGTGCCCTGGCTGTGCCTTGTCTGAACTGGATGATGTCATCTGCTAAATCTTTTTTATAAATCTTTTATTATTTCCATTTTTTTTTTCTGTAGTTTTAAGTAAACCATTCATTATAATGAAATGTTTTTTTTACTCTGCTGCGCATGCACGGTTAATTTCATTAAGTAGCAATTAGGGATATTGTGTGGGTATAATGGACGTTTAGTTAAATTCATCAAACTGCAATAAAGATACTTTTCTAATATGAATAACTATAGGTAACCGCAAAATTATAATTTTGCTATTGTGATAACCAGAGTAGACACAGAATTAGTTAACGTTTATGATCTTTATCTTTAACCTATTGTGCTACCCAGTTTGTGACTTGCTCTCTCAATGAATGCCAGCTTCAGCACAGCAACTACAGTGGGTCAGACAGGAGATATTCCAGGATTTATGGACACAAGATTGCCAGTAGTATCTCTGCTGGGCTTGTGTCCAAGATGTCTGTAGAATAAGGTCTATTCGTATCGTAGCATTTAGGTTCTGTCTAATTTAGGGATTTATTCCACAAACAGAAAGTTAATGACTGGTTTACAAAATGTAAGCTAAAATTGCAGTTTATTTGAAAGTGATTTTTTTTTTTTTTTCACTGCTTGGAATTCTGGTTTCAAAGTGGCATAAATGTATACTGGAAGCAGCCTCTTAAATGTAGAACGTAGTTGTCTGCCTTGTGACATTATATAGGAAGTATTATTTGAATTTAGATCACATGTTATCTGAAGTTCTCCAGCCTTGCCGTTAATTGTCAGTTTAAAGCTCCGTGGTTTCTCACGTTTCAAACACTGCATTCACTCGCCATAATGCTTTTCTCCAAGTTTGACGTGCTAAAGCACTATATTGACTTGAAATTGGCCATGATCATTCTCATCTAGAACGCTAATGTTACCCAGTTTAGTCCATTGGTGGGTTTTCAGGCCTGCGTTACTACTCATTCTTACAGACTTAAAAGACTTTCATTGTGATTTTGTGCAACTGTTGTAAATATTAATTCACCTTATTCACCTGACTTGGTTTCCCACTATATTTATAAATTTGTGATTAGTCCCACGGATTCTGGTGAGCACTTTGGACCTGTGCGTTTTGTGTACTTTAGACCTATTTGCTGCTGGATAGAAATTAATATTTTCGGTTGCACACAGGAGTTCTGTTAAGTAGTCACTGGCTTAGGGTTAATGGTATCTTACATTTTGTTCGAAAATAGGTAACCGGCCTCTGATTTCTAAATGATATATAGATTTGCATTTCAGGTTTTATCAGTTTACTGTAACTTGTTCGATATATGCTATGTGATCCCCTTTTAAAGATGGGGGTTTTAGTGAAACTAATGTGCTAATTTATTATTCAGACCTGTTTAGCTTTAATATATATACTGTTTTAACAGTTTTATTATTGTTCAAATAAAATAATAAAGTTGTTTGGCACTGTGTGCTTATTTGCATGTGATTTTGTGTGTGTCTTTGTGGAATATATTATTACAATGCCAGTGGTCTCTTTCAGCAGGATAATGCACACTACCGTATTGCAAAAATTGTTTAGGAATGGTTTGGTACATGAAGGCGTTCGCCAAGTTGCCTTAGCCTCCAAATTCCCCGGATCTCAATTCGATTTAGCATCTGTGGGTTGTTCTGAAACAACAAATCCAATCCAAGGACACCCCAGTTCGCATCTTTCAGGACTTAAAAGGTCTGCTGTTAATGTCTTGGCAAGTGGTTTTAATGTTAATAATAAGCACTCACTATCTGATAAAAGCTGCAGTTCACCCACAAGGATTTCTCCCACCCTTGTGAAAACAAATTAATACAGATAAAAGACAAAGTAAGACTACAAGAGCGAGCGGTTGCAAGACCTGAGAGCTCCGGCAGCCTGACTCAAAATCTCGGCTTTTCAGCCTCCTTACCTGCACCCAACGTGTCCTAGGAGATCCTTGCACGAAGCCCAACCAGTATGGGGCGAAAAAATAAACAAAAGCCGGACAAGCCAAGCCTGGGGCTAACAATTGGAGAGCTATGGAAGCAGGCGCAGTTGGCAACAGGGCCCAAAATGGCCGACACCTCAGACTGTGGATCCAATTTCTCGGACGACTTTACTTGCGGAGTGGGGGAACAAATCCTGTCATAATCTGCAATATCGCAGCGCAGCCCTTACAACTTTGATAACTCCCAAATAACCAGAGCAAAGCTTCTAGCCGAACTCCAAAAGAATATATCGGCTGACGTGGCGACGGTCCGTGGCGACATTCGGTGCCTAACATGCCGCTTGGGGGCTCTGGAGAACACTGCAGCCAGTAACACCCAACAAATTGAATCACTCAAACAGGCGGTCCAGGCCCAAAACAAGCCAGGGCAGTACAACTTTAAGGCCAGGAGTCAGTCCCATAGCTCTAGGAGTAATTAAAGGGGGGGGACCTAATTTCCCCCCTGGTCTCTACCCATGAGCGGCAGGTGGGGACCACAAATAATAAAGTGACTAGGGCCCCCCAATAAAAATACTCTACCTACCTCCCTCACCCTAATAATAGTGAGGGGCTGCCAATAAACGAACACCCTGTAAAATAGAATTTCATACTTACCATTAGATGTCTTCTTTTTTTTCTTCAGCTCCAAGAAAGGGCAAATAAAAATCCATAATACCCATCGCAACTGTTAAAATAAATAAATAATATGCAGGGGGAAAAAAATCCCAACGTAAAATAAATACATTTTCACCTAGCGAGGGCACCACGCAGAATGAGCTCTGCACGACCGCTTTCATGCTTTTTCTACAATGTTGAGATATAATAATGTCAATATTTATTGTAATTGCTCTTTCACTATTCATTACAATCCCTTCTTTATATGTATTTCAATAAACAAAACAAAAAATAAAGCAGTGCATTTCTACCTACATGGTGTGTCATTTCTTGCAGATACAGAGTAGTTGCAATCCTTTGCTAACTTTCTAAATTGCTACTTGTATCCCCATACTGAGCTACAGAGAACGTTAACCATTGCTGAGCACAGTATAGCGTGACTATTATAGTCTCTTAAAACGGCTATAATTGTTAAACCAGCAAGGAGTGTCCTATATAGTTTTTATCTTTATAATTATTATTTTCACATTTAAATTATTCTAATTTATTTTAAAAATGATCTAATAAAAGTTATATTTTATACACCCTTCTCACCAAGAAATGACACACCATGTAGGTAGAAATGTACTACTTTATTTTTTGTTTATTGAAATTCACTGTTTAGGGGTTATCCCCCATTTTTTGCATTCTACCCTAGGGTATCTTATTGATAGACTTGACTTTTTTCCTTCTTTATATGTATAATTACACCAGACCGCCACCCGGATCCAAGATGGCGTCCGGAGGACTTCCGCAAAGGTCACATCCGAGTGATGTGCGCATTACGATTAAAACATACAGGAACCAGAAATGATGGTGAAACTTTTGCCAAAAAACGGAAATAGCTCTACTACACACCGGAATCGGATAAAATCATTTAAAGACCACATAAATTACAGAGACCCGATTTGCAAGCATCCACTTTTGAAAAAGCTTCGGCAAAACGAGTCAAGAGAGGACTACAACATTAGACTGGTTTAGTTATATTTATTTTTATTCACTGTGTTAATTTTAATTTATTCTATTAATTAAGTACTTTTTTATACTATATGTATACACAGTCCAGTATATACTTACCTCATCCAGATTTCTTGTTGCTCCTCCGGGTCCACGGATATCCCAAGGTGGGGATTGTTACACCTAAGGACTATACACTACAGCAAGTCATTGCTCTAGATCAGGCATAGGCAACCTTCGGCCCTCCAGATGTTTTTGACTACACCTTCCCTTTTGCTTTGCCAGCATTATGGGTGTCAGAGCATTATGGGGGATGTAGTCCACAACATCTGGAGTGTGGAAGGTTGCCTACAACTGCTCTAGATGATGTAAGTAGGTTTTATCCTTTTTACATTATTGTGACTACATACTCTTTGGGTTTTTTTTTTTTTTAATCTCCTTTTTATATATGGTGGCCTTTACCTACCTGGGAGTCAAGCAGTGGTGATGTCCACAAAGAGATCCTTAGAAGGGGATTATTCCATCCAGGCTTACGAAATACAGTTTATAGCTCTTTAAAGTGTGTGTTCTTTAGCACTACTCGAATACTTGCACAATTGTGATAATATACTGCACTATAATTGTGTCCTTTCTCTTTGATATATATATATATATATATATATATATATATATATATATAGATACTGCCCTCTCCTTTATTGATTTGAACATTTAGCGCTGTTTACCTTGTCTTTTACCAGAATATAAACATGCATTGGCGGCATTTTGCATCACAGTACAAACTCTGCCCACCATCTGCTGTAGACTTTCTAAGAGAAACTTATCTCTTCACACCAGCTGCTGTGTATCAGATATCTGTTCAATACACAGCACTTGTGGAGCCAAAACACAGAATGTGTCTCTGCCTGCATTTACATATTATGTGTAGGGAGTTACTGCTCTAGTGAATAATATAGTGCTGTGTACTGACAGTTTGTCAATGGAAAAAAAGTGGTATTTTCTATGTTTACTTTGAAGGAGTGATCTGATAAGATTCACTGAATACTTTCTCTTTCAGAGAATGTTCATTAAAGGAACACTGTAGTCACTATAACCATTTCATCCCTTTGACTTGGTTCTAGTGCCCTGTCACCATAGGCGTGCGCAGCCTATTGCATTAGGGTGTGCACCCTAAAGCACAAACACACGCCGCGCGCGTGTGTGTGTGTGTGTATCTCATATATATATATATATGCTGTGTGCTGTTAGTGTGTGTGTGTGTGTGTGTGAGGGTGCGTGTTTGTGACTGTGCTGTTTGTGTGTGAGGGTGTTTGTGTGTGTATGTTTGTCCTGTGAGGGTGCTGTTTGTGAGGGTGCTGTTAGTGTGCTGTGTGTGAGGGTGTTGTGTTTTTTTTTTTAAAGGTGCTGTGTGTGTTTGTGAGGGTGCGGTTAGTGTACTGTGTGTGTGTAGGTGTGCTGTATGTGTGTGTGCTGTATGTTTGGAGGGATTTGGCAGATTAGTAAATCCTTGCTGCCATGTGCCATCCCTGGTGGTCCAGTGGAGAGTGAACTCTAGCCTGCAGGGCTAGAGTTAACTCTCGCGAGATCTGAGCGTTGCCGCAGCAACGCTCCGATATCGCAAAAGGAACCTGGCGGAGCTTCTGTCTAGAGCTCCCTGGGTCCTCTCCTGCCTCCCTCCATGCTGCTGTGGGCCGGTGAGGTAGATCTTTGGTCTCCCCGCCGGCCCATGAAGGCTTAGAGCAGAGCCGGCACTCAGATAGCGCCGGCTCTGCGTGTGTGTGTGTGTGTGTGTACATATACCTGGAGTGCTGGTGGATTTGACCCTGGGGTCCAGTGGGGGCGGGCGCCTCTCTGCAGCTCAGCCGCGGCGAGGGAGCTGTCTGCTCCCTCTCGCCGCGCGTGCTGTCTGCTGTAGCAGGGAGCCGGAATATGACGTCAGCGGCTGAGCTGCAGAGGGGGGGGGGGGGAGAATCCATCACCTCTTGCCCTCCCCATGACAGGGGCAAGAGGTGAAACAGAGGACGCTGAGTGCCTGCAGGAACAGCGTTCCTGCTCAAAAAAAGTGCAGGAACGCTGTTCCTGCAGGACTCAAACCATAGGCGTGCCACGGGGATTAGGGTGTGCCCAGGCACACCCGGCACACCCCGTGCGCATGCCTATGCCTGTCACTGTCCCTCCATTCAGTGTTGCACCATGTTCATGCAGTATGCCACAAAATAAGAGTCCCTGGCCACCCACAGTCCGGCCCCTTCTGTATGTGTAGCTAAGGCAGAGATTACACACTTCCTTGTTGTCATACCCATTCATACTGTCTGTTGGAGCTCTGACAGGCTAGAAGCAGTCAGCTGACACACTCAGCCAATCACAGCTGCCCATTGCTGCTCAGGCTAATACTTCCTTATTAGCCAAAGCAGCACAGAGGGGATGGACTGCCGTGGACTCTTGTTTAGCATTAAAACATTAAAAACTGTTTAATGCTGAAAGAAATGATGGTACCAGGGAACACTATAACCAGTTCAATTAGATAAAGCAGATACAGTGCCTACAGTGTCCCTTTAAGCTAAAGGCATTATAACGGAGGGATTATACAGTCCACAAGTTGGGTATAGCTATTGGCCTACACAACTGCTGCAGGGAGCTTCAAAAGAATGCTGAAAACCTTATATACCCATAATACAGGACCAGGATTGGCTACAACTTCTGTCATGTCGTATACTTTACAGATGCTGAAACGCCTACAGATTTGCCTAAATTTGTGTTTTTTGTTGTATTTTGCATTTTTTATGGCTTATCTTTGTAATGCATTCAAATGGGTAATATCCACCTTGGAGGCGTATTACAGCTCAAAGACTTTAAATATTGTATTGTGCATTAATATAATCTGCTAAGAGTGACCAGTAGCATTAACCACTTTACTACCAGTACCATGAGTAAGTGCCTTTAGGTTTCATTTTAGAAACATGGCATTAAATTGAGTACTATTTACTTTTTCCTTTGCTCCTACATTGGTCCTCACTGAGATGAGAAATTAATTTCTCCACCAACACTCCAATCAATTCAACCTCCTCACACACAGGGACTGTAATTTTTATTCATTTTTTAATAGTTAGAAATACAATGCATGTTTCCACCCCAATCTCTTGCATTTAATATCTTACTGACAAAGGGATTTAAATTTTTAATTTATTTGCAATGCTGTGGTTTATTTTTTGCTTCTGTCTCATATGTTACTGTAGCATGGATATGTTACATATTTTACTGTTTTATATATTTACTATTCATAGTACATTTTAAATCACAAATGGTGGCAGTAAGGATTTTTGGCGTTATAGGAGGGAAGTTGTAAACGTGAATAATGTAGTGTGAAGCCAAAAGTTACAGTATTTCCCTGCGAGTTAAAATTAAGAAACGAGGTACACTAATTAAATGCAACAGACTCTCTTGGTTCCCATTTCTGACCTCCGTGGGGATTGTGTTTATTTTTTAGATCTATGCTAAAGCAGTAGGAATTACAAAGACTATCCTAACTGCAAGTTTAGTTTCAACCCTAGTGAGATCTTCCAAAGACTAAATGGTTCCAGACTTATCAACAAATCGGCACACCAACAATTAGAACCAAACAGCCAACCAACTATTCAACTTACATTGAGGCCTTTACGAAGCTTGATAAAGACTTCAGTGAAGGTGGAAACGTTGTTTGCCCTTTCCAGTGCTGACTTACTTTGGCGGAGAGCTGGGCCAGTTATTCTTTGGAAGATCTCACTATTGCAGTTAGGATAATATTCGTGACTAATAGGGTCTTAGCAGTGGCTTAGAACTCACCCACAATCCCTACATTGGGGGGTCACCGAATGGAAAATATCACTCCCACCGGCCCTCTTTCATTTCCAAATTTGTTCCATCTACTGTCCAAGTGCTTCTGGAAGATTTATGAGCAGGATCAGTTTTTACACCAGACAGCTCAAATGGAATTAAGAAGAACCTTCATTTATCTCTGATTTCCATTCATTTATATTTATTAAATAAAATAATATTCCAGATATTAAGAAAAACAGATTTGCCTCTTTGTGCAATAAGTTATATCCCCTTGTACAGTGAATTTAAATAAACAATATAAATATGTAAAAAATAATTTTTTTATTTTTTATTATTTTTCACAATTAAAAGTGCATTCCAGGCACAATTCATAAATATACATGATTAAATACAACAAATATAATCTCCTCTAAAACATTAGGCATGGGCATTTTACATGAGTGTTTTACAAAGTTGGACCAGACCCCAGGGTTAGAGAGTCACACTTTCATCTCTGAAAATCCTATTTAATCTTTGTTCCAGTTAGAAATGCATTATTCTGCCACCACTGTTTTACATTATTTGGGAATATATGGAGATTTCTTCCAAATAAAACAATTATGTATAAAAACAAAAAGTGTGGGGCAAAGTTCTAAAAGAAACGGAGCAATTACCTCTTTTAGATCTTTGCTCCAGAATGACTTTATATAGAGCCAATATGTGTCAGGGGAGGCAATAATAGATGCATTGTGTGTTCTGTGTATGAAACTCTGTATTATAAAATTAAATACTGACAATACGTTGGGAAACATGACAGACAGTGAGATATAAGGCATGAACTTTAAACTGTGTGAAACCTGATTGAGAATATATCTAGGTCTCCATAACGCACTTAACTCCAAGGCAAATCACATAACTCCAAGCTAAGGCACATAAATACATGACTTGGATTTCTTAAAGTAAACTATTGATCCATCTGTGTTTACAAAAAGTGATCATTCGAAAAACTAGATAGTTATAAAGATTCTTCTCTACATTAGTGGTTTCAAAAGAGTATTTAGGCATTTGTCAATTCTATCCCAATGGGGACTTGGCCATTGGTTGTGCCTTGGTTACTGTATTGAGAAAAATTCTGCCATAGATGGTAGAACCTATGTAGCTCTAAGTACAGTCAGAAAGATGGCAAATCATTGTGAGATTGTCATTCTGCAACCAATGGGGATCTACTTTTGGCTACCCATACATTAGGCTAACCTTTGCCCCTCCAGCTGTTAGACTGCATTTCCCAAAAAATAAGAATCAGAAATGTTAGTGAGAATTTAAAAACAAAATCAAAATTAAAGCTAAAATAAACTGGAGTTGAAGAATTTTCCCAAACCTGCATGAAACTGGTTCTCTAAAATGTTATGTTTAACACAAGGACATTCACTAAGGTGTAAAGTGTCTAATTACATTTAATTTAAAATAGACTGGAAAAACCCTCCTGATCAACTGTTACCAGTTTGACCATTTTGGCCTTAAAGTCTATTTTCATTTCTGACAATTCAAATTGTATTAAATAACTCTGACCGATTTGTGGGTACATTTGTGTCTCATGTCCATGATTTAAATTAAATCCTGACGCATTGACTTGTATCTGCTTATTTTGGACACATTTTGTGTGTGCGCGCAGTGTGTGCCAATGATCAACGCAGCGATTCAAGGAGCCAGCAAAGGGGTGGCCCAAAATTTATAATGTAGGTCACATCACTGAACCAAAATAAAAGTTACAAATTGCAATAAAAATATTGGTTTTCAAAGATTGACTTTTAAGCCATGTCTGCAAATATTACACATAAAACTAGACTGCTTTATCACTGTGATGAGGTCGATTATTTTGACTTGCAACATTTAGTCGCTGTTAGGACTTGATCTTATAATGTACTTTTTAAAGTGCAATGTTCTGTTTCTTGGCAAGATAATAAATTGCAAAACTTCCTTCTTTTTTTTCTCTGCATAATTGTTATTTTTGTACCTAGCTATTTTATTTACATAGTGCAGGGATAGGCAAGCTTCGACACTCCAGGTGTTGTGGACTACATCCCCCCTAATGCTCTTACACACAATGCTGACAAAGCATCATGGGAGATGTAGTCCAAAACATGAAGGTTGCCTATCCTGAAATAGTGGATCAACAGTTAATGGAAGATGTAAAGGTTAGATCAATCATCACTTGTGTCATGATGGATAGACAAGGAATGTACAATTACACCCTACCTTAAGGCAACAAGAATGCACTAACATTTAAAGGGCACTGTAACTTTGGATTTTTTTGCAATTACTCCTATTGTATCATGTTTACTTGCACGGAGGCTCCCTGAGGAAAACATATTTGTGGACTATATTTACCAAAACCTATCTTTCTACTCTGCCATCTTTCTATTATCAGATGAATGGGTTCTCTGCTAGCCTAGCAGGCAGTGTTTTGGGAGATCAGGAAAAATCATAGGGCTGAACGTTTTCATTCGCCACTTGCCATTGGCTAGTGAAAATTTAGCCCTGGTGAGTAGAAATTAACCCATGATGAGCGTGCCATGCTCCGTTAAGGCTTGCCGTGGTGAGCAATTTTTAAGGCCTGGACTTACAATTTTCAGCCCTGCTCTATAGACTTTATAGTGTGAATTTCATAGTTTAAACCAATGTAGCGGAACTAGAAGTATAGCTGACTTGGGGAATTCTTCCAATATTGCCTTTGAAATGAAAATTGCTCTAGATTCTCAGTTTAGCGACTAGCCCTGTTGGTAGTCTTGATTGCTCCCGACTTCTGATTCATATTATAAAAGGTGTGCATGATTTATATAAGATACTGGTTGCCCAACAAAAGTACTAAATATGTTGCAGTCAGTGGCAATAAACTATTGGTTTCTATGGTGATCGTAGCCCATCTAACACTCTTTATAAATGATCCCTAGGTATCCCTCTCCCATTCTTGCGGTTTCCGTAATCCTAATGTGGAAACATTCCCCAGTCTGCTTCTATCATCCCACAAGCAGTGGCTCTCTGAGATTTTAATGTAATACCTCCATCCTTATAGCAGCATTCAGTCCAGACAGTCATTTCTACACTTTTTTCTTTATCAGGGTCAGTGGTTTGAGGAAATCAGGGAGAGGCAGGGCTTCCAGAGCATCAGGGAATCTGTCTGGGGGGAGGCTCCTGAGGACTTTTTGCATGGACATTGTAAATAGGGAGGGAGGGGAGGTACCTATGAGCCATCTGTACAAATCCAGCCCTATGAGCCCCTGCCAGAGCCCCTCTTCCTCTACCAGCTGGTCCCTGAGTTTAAAGGGCAGCCCAGGGGGCAGGTAGAGCAGCAGGCAGTCCAGACACTGCAGTTTGAGCCCCAGGTCCTGCTCCCCCCTCCTGAGGAGTTGGAGCAGGATGTCCAGGGGAGTATACCCGCAGCTGTCCGGCCCCCAGAGACAGGCACCATGCCCCAGCAGCAGGACGATGCACTCGGCTCTGAGCAGCTCACAGGCCAGGTGTAGTGGGGTCTTGCCCCCCTCCACCCTCTGGCACCCCCTGCGGTTGATGTAAGCAGCCCGGTGGCTGGTAGGGAAGCCCCGCAAGGTGTGCAGGATCCCGCGGAGGATCTCCAGCCGGTCGTACCGTACAGCCATGGTGAGATGAGGGGCACTGGACTGGCAGCAGCTGAAGTTCTTGCTGGGCATGGCCAGGGCGTCCTGGGGGTACTGGCTCAGCAGGTACCGTGCATAGGGCTGGTGGTCGTGGACTAGGGCATAGAGCAGAGCCTCGGAGGGCGAGTAGGCACTCACCTTGCCCCCCTCCTCCCAGTGCAACACCTCCATAATCCGCATGTCCTCCAGCACCCACACCGGCAGCTGGTCCCTCACCGCCTGGTAGAAGGCGAATGAAGTGTTCTTGCATTGCTTCTGGGACTGGTAGTCGGCATAGCTGCAGGAGCTGGGGCGGCAGTGCCCATTCCCTGGCATCTCCAGAGCTGGCAGGGAGGGGGGGTGGGGGAGAGGGGGGGAGGCTGGTGTCACAGATCCCAAAAATCTTATCCAGACATTAGCTGCATGCAGAGATCCTCTCCTTCCTTCACTGGATTCCTCTCCTAAAATGGCAATGACACACATTCAGGTAATCAGATCAAGGATTACTAATAAAAAAAATACACTCCTGGTCATCACAAAGAACACTGCTTTCAGGGCAGCTGTCAATCATAGGACGCAGCTCCTGCAGAGCCTCTTGGAAAATGGCAAAGAGTTGGGCATTTCAACAACAGGATGGGAGAGATTTCAAAGAGGTTCTGCAGCAGCCTTGTCTGGTCTGTATCCTCGCATTTAAATCTAATATTCACACTAATACTTTATTTTTACAGCTGACACAGAGACTTGGCATTGGTTATAAAGTCATGGCATTAGTATTTTATTTCGATGGGTGTGTCTGTAGCTTTAATAGAACGTTTGGGGTGTTTCTGCATATTGGGTACATTGTATTTATCTGAATCATGGTAGCTGATCTAGGTATGACACACAATGCCAAGTCCAAACAGTCAGCTACACAATGCTAACACATAGCAACAGATCAACACAAGTTAACACAAGGCAGCTCTGTGTAATGTCACCCAGAGATCTGCTCGATGCTGACAGTAAGAAGACATGGGTAGAATGGGGCTTATTCACTAAACAGTGGGTTGTAGTGAAATACCGCATGTGTGCCAAAGATAATACATATTCCACTCAGTTACAGACATTTAGCCTGCAGCACACTGCAGACAGACATCCAGCTAACACACAGTTTTATTACATGCATACACAACTACCCCAGGCTAACACACAGCATATAACCTCCATACATCCTCAATATAACCTCCATACAGCCTCAATATAACCTCCTTACAGCCTCAATATAACCACCTTACAGCCTCCATATAACCTCCTTACAGCCTCCATATAACCTCCATACATCCTCAATATAACCACCTTACAGCCTCCATATAACCACCATACAGCCTCCATATAACCTCCATACAGCCTCCATATAACCACCATACAGCCTCCATATAACCACCATACAGCCTCCATATAACCTCCATACAGCCTCCATATAACCTCCATACAGCCTCCATATAACCACCATACAGCCTCCATATAACCTCCATACAGCCTCCATATAACCTCCATACAGCCTCCATATAACCTCCATACAGCCTCCATATAACCACCATACAGCCTCCATATAACCACCATACAGCCTCCATATAACCACCATACAGCCTCCATATAACCTCCATACAGCCTCCATATAACCACCATACAGCCTCCATATAACCTCCATACAGCCTCCATATAACCTCCATACAGCCTCCATATAACCTCCATACAGCCTCCATATAACCACCTTACAGCCTCCATATAACCACCATACAGCCTCCATATAACCTCCATACAGCCTCCATATAACCACCATACAGCCTCCATATAACCTCCATACAGCCTCCATATAACCACCATACAGCCTCCATATAACCACCATACAGCCTCCATATAACCACCATACAGCCTCCATATAACCTCCATACAGCCTCCATATAACCTCCATACAGCCTCCATATAACCACCATACAGCCTCCATATAACCTCCATACAGCCTCCATATAACCTCCATACAGCCTCCATATAACCACCATACAGCCTCCATATAACCACCATATAAGCCTCCATATAACCCCAATCACAGCCTCCATATAACCACCATACAGCCTCCATATAACCTCCATACAGCCTCCATATAACCACCATACAGCCTCCATATAACCACCATACAGCCTCCATATAACCACCATACAGCCTCCATATAACCTCCATACAGCCTCCACACAACCCACAATCACAGCCTCCATATAACCACCATACAGCCTCTATATTACCTCCATATACACCTTGCATATACACCTTCCATATAACCTCCATACAGCTCACATATAGTTAGTTAGAAAACTGACCTTTTACTCTTCTTGTGAGATAACAAGTACAGTGACAGCTCCAGTCATTCAGTGTGAGTGCACACCCAGCACACAGGTCACTGATCCCCTATATCGATCTCTCTCTCCATTATTGATCTCCTGGCCAGGTATTGCTACCCAGATAGAGTACTGGTCCCCGGGCAGGTTATTGATCTCCCCTGAAAGATGATTGCTCTTTTGGCAGGGTATTGATCGTCTAATAGGTTATGGATCTCCTGCTGGGTATCGATCTACTGATAGATTACTGATCTACTGACTGGGTATTGATCTCCTGATAGATTATTGATTTCCTGTCAGGATGCTGATCTCCTGATAGACCATTAATCTCCTGGCTGGGTATTGATCACCTGATAGATGATTGATCTCCTGGTGGCAGGGTATTGATCTCCTGGTTGGTAATGGATCTCCTGATAGATTATTGATCTCCTGCTGGAAGGGTATTGATCTCCTGATAGATTATTGATTTCCTGTCAGGGTGCTGATCTCCTGATAGACTATTAATCTCCTGGTGGCAGGGTATTGATCTCCTGATAGATTATTGATCTCCTGCTGGAAGGGTATTGATCTCCTGATAGATTATTGATCTCTTGGTGGCTGGGTATTGATCTCCTGATAGATTATTAATCTCCTGGTGGCAGGGTATTGATCTCCTGATAGATTATTGATCTCTTGGTGGCTGGGCATTGATCTCCTGATAGATTATTGATCTCCTGGTGGCTGGGTATTGATCTCCTGATAGATTATTGATCTCTTGGTGGCTGGGTATTGATCTCCTGATAGATTATTGATCTCTTGGTGGCTGGGTATTGATCTCCTGATAGATTATTGATCTCTTGGTGGCTGGGTATTGATCTCTCCTGTCAGCCCCTGTCAGGATGATGGGAGGAAGGTGGGCCGGGGCTCTGCTCCCCCTGTGACCCGGACCTGGGACCTTTCAGCAGCAAACACTTGTTGCTCCGTCTCGGCATTTTTATTTCCTACTCCTGAAGGTCGTCAGGACCGCGGAACTGTCCACTGGGCTCTGATTGGCCCGCTGCCGGCGACCCGGGCTCTGATTGGCCAGGAGTGAAGACGAGCACAGCGTCACCCCAGGGCAACGTTCCAAGGACTTGTCTAGTGTTCTGACAGATAGAGGATCAGGTTTGGTAGGCTGGTCTCCATGGTGACGTGGGGGGAAGGGGGGGGGGGGAGCGTGTCAATGGACTGATAGCTCAATATATTAATAATGGATAATAAGTATGGACTGCACTCCCAAAGACCCTGATCCAGGCTGGCTGAGAGTGATTAGAAATGCAGTGCTCAGCAGCTGCAGTACCAAACCTCAGCCATCACTGATCTACAGGCAGACTGCACTTTGTTTTTGTCTGAGCATCCACAATCCTAAATATAATGTCACAAAACCCCAGCTAGAACTATCTCCTGTGTGATGGGCATTGTATTCACTGCAAGGTCCACAAAAGCAGGATTGAAAACCAAACACTGGCTACTGGCTCCTCACACTGACAATCAGAAATAAATAGCATTTAAAGCATTTACCGGTATGTTAAATTGTATTTGTTTTAAGTTTGAAACATGCACATTTATTATAATAAAGAAAACAAAAATAAATTCTACATTAGTGTCAGCAGAAATTAAAATGTAAATAGTCAATAAAGATACTAACTAACTTGATCAGTATGTATATATATTAGAAAATACATAATGACACTGCAGGGTGTTGTCTGCAGACTGCTCTCACAGTTACTGATCAGTTAAATTGTAGGTCTGGGGCTTATTCGCTAAACAGTGAGTTATGTTGAAAGATCAACTTGACAGATATAACTCATCATAAGTAACTGTGTGTGTAGTAAACAACATCCCTGTGTGCATATTATTTTATGTATGATAATGTTATGCTAATGAAAGTCTTGGAAGTAGATTGTTACAGAAAATTGATTTACAACTACAATTAATCTTGATATTAAATATTTAGAATTTCTGTGATTTTTACTTGGTCGAACTGAACATCAGAGATCACATGCAACAAGGCACAAAGACCAAAAAATACAAGAAAAGTATTCCTTCTAATTGCTTTGCCTTAAGCTAGAAGGAGACATTTGTCTAATGAGTCTACAAGCTGTTGGACATCTCTCCAAATAGTGGCCCTCCATTATCCAGCCCCTGCTCTGTGTCACCACTGCAGTATTTATCATTCTCCTGTATCACAGCCAGTGCCATATCACTCAATACATGTCTCCTGTTTATTTTCATTAATGGTATCAGATATGACACAATAGATTGGCCCCAGTTATAATAAACTAAGTTAAACCTTTGCTTTCTGCTTTTTATTTTCTGAATATCTCTCTATTTGTGGCGTTACTGCCACAGTAATTCGCTAATGTGTAGATTGTCAGGAATTCAAATTAAGTTTAATTATTAGGCCAAAATAGTCAAATTGAACATACAACGGACTTGGAGAAATGTTCTAATTTGACTACTGTGGCCTATATTTTGAAATTCCCTGTAAATTCCCCAAAATGTACCTTTCAGAGAATAACCCTAACACAGAAGATCATTCGAGTATTGAAGATTTACAGGTATGTAGACTACCAATCGTGGATTTATAATACATATCAATTCAGATATATATCAGCCAGTTTTTTTGCGGGTGTAAAATATAAAATAAAGTTAAACTTATGTGCCAAGAGTCTTCCCTTACAAGGTAAAATATCCCCTAGCAGCCCGAATACATAGGGATTATAAGAATATCAGAGAGCATGTTTTTTATTAATGTTTTTTTATTAAGTCCGTCAGTAGAATTTTATGAATGTACGACATAGATCAGTCCAGGAGGTGTATTTATAGACGTTCTCTGCAGATTGGGTTGGGGAAAATTTTAATTGATGCACATTAAAATAAATGTAGTGGTATAGTTCATACAGGAAAAATAGTCTTCACAGAGCCAGCAGGAAGTGATTAACCCCTTCAGGACACATGACGGAAAATATTCCGTCATGATTCCCTTTTATTCCAGAAGTTGTGTCCTTAAATACAAATAAAATAAAAACAGACAAAATAAAAGTCAATAGGTAGTCTAAATATATAGTCCAACGCGTTTCGTCCAATGTAGGGACTTCCTTGTAGGGATAGTCCAGATCCCTGAGGAAGTCCCTACATTGGATGAAACGCGTTGGACTATATATTTAGACTACCTATTGGCTTTTATTTTGTCTGTTTTTATTTTATTTTATTTGTTTTTAATCCCTTCCTGCCGGCTCTGTGAAGACTACTTTGCTGCATTTGGTTCCACATTGTGTGGATACATGCCCAGATTGTCTGCCTGCTTGTAAGTGCAATCTTAATACATTTTCCTGTGATTTTATATACTTCACCATGTATGGCTCTCTTTCCTTCATTCATTCAAGGAGTTCCCTATCGTTGTAACCCCTGAAGGGGTGAGAAGCCTTTTTACACCTGCGTTTGTGAGTGCAATTCCTATAGAGCACATTATTTATTTTATTTTTACTGCATTACACTATGTAGTGTTTGTTATCATTGCAGATTTACACTAATAATTATAATTACCCTGGTTCATCCTCCCAGGTTGTATTCAATTTATTGTATATTCTGGGTGTTTTCCTACTTTTTTTCTTGTTAAAGTTTATTATTTGAATGACATGAATTTTACATTTTAGACATTTTAGTTTTAGACTAAAATAGCCAAACTGAGAACACTGTTGATTAAGATAATTTTTCAGGTGCAACTCATTTGCAAAGTAACACCAAATATGACCAGGTACACTCAGGTGTGTTTCAGTAGGAGACCCATTGGCAAAATAAATGAACCTGCTTTTTGCAGGTGATGGTAAAGACTTTAGTAAAGGGCCCTGTGTGTCTTTGTTTGGTTACACGTTTACGGTAGATGGCCTAGTCTTGTTTGTTGCAGTAAATTGACACAGGTTTGAGCCATATCCTACAATAACAGCATGTACTGAAGACTGATAAGCACTTCTTTCTTAACCCACATCTTAGAGCGACCAGATTTCCAAGTCCCCCAGCTCTGCGTAGTGTTTGTGTGGCTGTCAGCACGTGCTGCCTTTATCTAAGCCAACAGATACACACACATGCAGTTCTTCCATTGAAACACATCCAGAAAAACAATGATCTGCCCTAGATTGTAAACTTGTTTTGGCAGAGCTATCTTCACTTACTGTTCCTGTATGTCGAACGTCCTTTGTCTGACTTGTTTGTCTCGGTTATTCTATCGTACAGCGCTGTGGAATATGTTGGCGTTGTATAAATAATTATAATTGCTACATTTACCATGCATATAGAGATGCATGGGGGTTTATTCAATAAATACTGAATTGCAAAATTAAGGTATAAAAGAGTTGATCTGGTAGGAATTCTCCAAACTAGCTAAAGTCACAGGTTGGCTATTTTAGAGTGAATTTTCACAGATTTGGAAAAAATATGTAAGAAAACAACCATCCCAACAAACAATATAAAGCATTGTACACATTGCAAATATTTTTTTTTTTATATATATATATATGGGCTTTGAAATTCTGCTTCCTTCCAGGTATTGCAGAGGTCTGAGGATCCTCACTAATATTCGAATTAATGTTCCCAAATCCACCGTATTTTCTTCTACGTATATATCACTAATACATGCTGCTGATGGGCATCACATGAAAAGTATTGCCCTGCGGTATGTAGAACTGAAATGCTGTAGGAGGTACTCCTCCAGGTAACTTGCTATACATGTATCTTACAAACTGCAGCGTCAACGGCTCATCAACTTGAAGAAATGATAGCGTGCCCTGGAAAACACATAATGGATGTGTCCACCCGAACTATAATACGTTCTTTTAAGTTTTTATTTTACAGGGTTATTCACAGAAGTGAGAATGATTGAGAATTCTAAGTGAATTTCAGATTTATAGGGACACTATAGGCCAGGGGTGCCCAAAAGGTAGATCCCTAAAAGTCTTAAAACTACAGCTTCCATGATGCTTTGTCAATTCTCAACATCTGGGGATCTACCTTTTGGGCACCCATGCTATAGGCACTCGGATCACTTAAAGGACCACTATAGTGACAGGAAAACATACTCGTTTTCCTGGCACTATAGTGCCCTGAGGGTGTCCCCACCCTCAGGGCCCCCCTCCCGCCGGGCTCTGGGGGGAGGAAGGGGTTAAACTTACCTCTTTCTCCAGCGCCGGGCGTGGAACTCTCCTCCTCTTCGGCTGAATGCGCATGCGCATTCAGCCAGTCTCATAGGAAAGCATTCACAATGCTTTCTTATGGACGCTGGCGTCTTCTCATTGTGAAAATCAAAGTGAGAAACGCGGAAGTGCCTCTAGCGGCTGTCAATGAGACAGCCACTAGAGGCTGGATTAACCCATTTATAAACACGTGTGCCTGCCCTCCAATGTAATTATTGATCCAATGCACTCTTATCGGGAAGGACTAATGCATGCATGGTGGTCACCGTGCATGCACATTAGGTCCCCATCAGCTGACCTCGGATAAGAAGGAGGAGCCTCGGCGCTAACATCAGGTAAGTGACAGAATTTTTCTTTAACCTTTTCATGGATCTGAGGGGGGCGGGGGGGCAGGCATCGGAGCAGGGAGCAGAGATACACTATAGTGTTAGGAATACAATTGTGTATTCCTTTAAGACCAAGTCCGACATGTTCAGTGAATAACTCTGCTACTGTACAAGTGCGGAGGAGGATCACAGGGGGTTTTAGAAATAGCACTATTAGAATATAACCCGCTGGGTGGCATCTTGTTACAGAATGCTCTGTTCCCCATCTAAAGCTCTCATGGATGTGCTGCTGATATCTGAAGCTAATAATAAAACCAAATCCGCCTGTTGGATTAATCTGCTCATTTTACTGCACGGATCATTTTTAATGTGTTTATTGTCCGTGTGGTGGTAATACACACATAGCAGACACTGACACAGACAGGGATGTTAGCCAAACTCGGAATCAACTAATTCAATCA